GGCTATCTCTGAGTTTTCCGTATACATTTTTCTACATAGTTGCTTGTGATCATTGTGTTGATTCTCCTTTACGTCTCTCCCACGTAATTTTGTTTATAGCTCTTGTGGCTTATGCTGTAACCTCCGAATTTGAATTTCATTGGAAATGTTATCTACTCATATCACTTAGGAAAATTTTAATATCGGACTTTCGTCAGCATAAACGAAATAGCAAGAATCATTCTTTTATGTTTAATCTGCGGATATTATCGGAACCTACTTATATACGAAAACTGGCATCAATTTAATCTTTGCTTATTTTTCTTGATTTTTCTGTAAATCTCTCGTGATTGTGATTAATTTTCTTTTGTTTTATTTTCTTAAATCTTGTTCTTGCTCATTTAGCTCATGCCGGACTATTGCGATTCCACTTTTGATTCCGATGCCAATACCAGCCCTTCCTCATATGTGACAGCTTTTAATCGGACCATTGGCTCATCTCTACTTAATACTTCCTTAGCCTCACGCTGTCCGAGGATGGGCCCAGACCCTTGCGGCATCTCCAATTCTGAAGATTCTGTCATTTTACGTTCTCCAGCTGGTTCCGATCTTACTCGTTTAGATCATATGAACGTAGTGTATCCCAGTCCCGAAGTCCGTAACGCCTCTAATACCGCTATTGCGTCTTTACATACACAATCCTTGTTAGGTGGATCGCTTGACCAGCACTTGATGCAATCTCAAGCTTATTGTGGCGATGACAGTTCTATGGACCCTGTCATGGAATTACAGTACTCATTTATCTCGCCTTACGAAAGCGCTAACTCTTCCTTCTCGCCTGACTCAGTGGTATCAAGAGTTGTGAATGATTCACAATGTCGGGATTCTCTTAGTCGCTGCGAACCCTATAACGACATGGATTCGGAAACCAATGAAACGGGCTCTGGGAATCCATCATCACCTCGCCCCATAGCTGACGATTCAATTAGTAAGTAATTTTAAATCTTCATGTACTTATAGTTGCATGTAGGTCTGTAATATGGAAGATCTTTCTTTTTAATTAATATCACCTATCAAGATTATTAGGCTTTATTTTATATTTCACTGATACTTCTTGTATGCTTTGTACGTATCATCATAAAATAGGTATCTTTATACTTCTTTCTCTATATCTCCAGGTCAATTTTCGTTTTGGTATCTTTTATCTATCCCTTGAATTCTCTAAATAGAAGCTATATTTTATGGTTAAAATATTTATTAGCCATTAATTTATGGGATTAATTGATGATAGTGCTCACGTTTATATTAGAAACAACCTGTTCTATAGATTTACTTTTGTAATTTCTCAAACATTGCTTTGTGTTACTTTAACAAACATTTTTGTAGAGCTCTTTTTTTTCCAAACATCACTTTAGTAAGCTTCTAAGTTCCTTATATGACATTTTTCACAGAGCTCTCTTTAGTATAATATTGCCATTTAATGATCGCCGTTTTAAGACTTCAAACATCAAGTTCCCTTATTGAATCACACTATCTCTAACATTAAGACTCAGTGTGAATTTTTATTGCTTCCTTAATATTATATTCTACATCTGCATCTCCATATCCTCAGGGTGTTGAGATGAAGCAACATTCGTTTCATATCATTTACTTTCTTGCTTTCTAATCACTGAGTCCTCTACCATAGCATTCATGATCACTTTCATTTCAGACCATGGATTCGGTACATTCCCAGACGTCTCGCCGACATCAATGATACTTTCCATTCTTAGAACCATATAGCAACTCGTCGAAGAGACAAATGAGACCCATCATTTGCTCAATTGCCTGCTAAAAATTTGCCTCGCCCTTTTAGATCGGTCTCATTCCCTCGGTTCAGAGATTTCCCTTGATCATTGTCATCATATCTATGTCATTTTAGGCGTTATTTTCCACATTATTTAAAGCATTAGATGGCAAATATCCTCTAGCCTTATTAAGAAGGCCCTCAAATTCTGAATTTTTATGCAGGATGATAAAATTAACAATGCAGTTTCTCATATCACAGATACGAAGGTCAAGATGTTGTGGCAACTGATTTGGTCGCGATCTCCTTTTTGATGTATCTAATTGGTCTGACCTAGTCAGGGCTACTTAGTTAGAGTCATCTTATCCTAAGTTTTCTGCTACAGTAGATATTAATAACTTCGTCGGACCGTGGACTTGGTACATTCCCAGATGTTTCAACGGAATCGTAGTCAGCATCGTCAATGAATCCTTCCCCTTATCCCTTTGGTAAACTGTAGTTTGGTGCTGGGAATGGAATGCTCACGGATGATGCCGGTTACATGCTGGGAATTATGATATCTAATATATCAGGTGACTTCGGACAAAGTGCGCCCAGCTAAATCGCCCTGGCAACATGACCAAGTTGCGAAAACTAGGTCAGATCACTTCTTCTCTTATCACAATTTTGCATGTGCATTAGGTTAATCTCATAATGAATCCTTTGCCTCGCGGAACGTATGTATGAACAAATTCGTGTTTTTTTGAGCCATCTATCTCTGGTATTTGCCATATTTATCTTGCTTTTATCTATAATATTGAATATACGACCATAGTCTCGTGTGTCAGCCTTAAATGAAGTGGCTGTTTATTTGCTTTGCTGGCCTTTTGTGTGGTCGCAGTTTCTTTTCGTTATATGGCAGTTGTTTGACCTAATTTTCACTTGGTCATATGGTAGGAAAACTTAAAGGAAAGCACCTAGACCGGAGTCCATTTTATGCATGGTAATATCCAAAGACGGACCATGGATGTGGTACATTCCCAGACGTTTCGCCGGCATCGTCAATGAATTTTGTAATTCTTAGCACCATACTCATCAAAAAGACAAGTAAAGCCGATCCTTTGACCAAACGTATGCTAAACAATTGTGGTATCTCTCATTCTGCCCTAAGCTATTCACATTTAATATATCCTCCAATCACGCCTTTACTGTCACCATTTTTTACCAATCTTATTTAGATGTAGTGTGGTGTGCCCTTAAGAGCGACGTTCATGAGAACCCTCCTCACTCCGCGCTGGCGTTCTTATCCTTCCTTTACCCTTGTGCTGGAAATGTGGATCAGAGTTTGCCATAATGTTACGCAGTTTTCCTTTCATCGGTCTAATCATAGTTTACCTCTTTACCCGTGAATTTGTCTGCTATCTCCATTATTCAAGTATTTCACTCCTACCCTGCTACATCTGTGCTACTCGAGGCTAAGGCCTCTGAGTAAGTCTCATGGTCAAGCCTTTGCTACATCGACCGCGTTTATGGTAAAAGAGGCCTACTGTCAGCCAACTAGCTCCAGTCCCTGCCTCCTCTATCTTGTTTCTATCCGTACTACCAAGTCTATGACTTCCTATGTCCTAGTCTCTTGCATGCCAACCCACAAACGTTGTGCTTCAACCTTTAATATAATAAAAGCAAGCAGTACCACTTACTCGGGGTATTTAGCCTCAAGTTAGTCTAGCAGACGCAGAGTGTCGGAACTAACGCAGAGTGTCGGAACTAACGCCTCGAGTAGCACAGTTGGGGTCGGGGGGAATCGAGTAAAATACTTGAACCAGGGAGATAGCAGGCGGGTTTTACGGACAAGAGGGAGACTCTGATAAGACCTAGAGAAAGAGGCAGGCTCTGATAAACACTCCCAGCAGAAATGTGAAGGAGGGCTGAGAACGCCTACGTGAAGTGCAGATGGTTCTCATGACGTTCCGCTCAAAAGGGCACACCACACTGCATCTAAATAAGCACAGTAAAAATTGTAACAGTGAGAGCGTGAACGAGGATATAGAAAATGTGAATAGCACAGGGCAGAAGTGGAGATATCACAACTATTTAGCATACGTTTGGTCAAAGGATCGGCTTCACTTGTCTCTTTTGACGAGTCGTGTGGTGCTAAGAATAGCGTGACTCAATGACGATGCCGGCGAAACGTCTGGGAATGTACCACGTTCACGGTCCGACTTTGGAAATTATCATGCATGCATGGACTCTGGACTAGTTGCGTTTCTCTAAGTCTTCCTACCAATATGACCAAGTTGCGAAAACATAGTCAAACAACTTATCTTGATTTCTGTTTGTCCCTCCCTAGCCTCTTTCTTGCGATTACTTTTCTTCATGT